GCAAACACTTGGTATTTTGCAAAAGACGAGGAGACTAACTCCTATAGGTGCTAATATAATAATTACTAACTGACTTTCGTTAATTAAAAAAAAAAAAAAAAGATATTTTATTTTAACTCAATCAAAAGATATTCATTTGCGCAATTTGAGCGGAGCAAAATTCGATAAATCAAACATTATTCTCTACAGTATATCATGTGATATTGTCAATGTAGTATTCCAAAACAATCGTGAATTTTTTTGTAAATATTACATATTGACTCATCTTTATTAAATAATTTTTGAATGTCATATGGTGACTCATCTTTAGTGTGTATTGTAATTTCTCATTAACTTCAAACAACACATATACATTGACACATGATAGTCGAATCGAAGAGTATCTAATAAATTTTCTACTATTATTAACACAAACATGGACATCTCCAATTATTATGCAAAGCTTTCTCAAGTTTTTTGTTTTTTGTTTTTTTTGTTTTGTTTTTGGGTCAATCAAGTGCTTCAACTTCTTAAATTGATTAAGGCATTATTTGACATCTCCTATAAAAGGATATTTTTATCTTTTTATTTTTTTGGATCAAATTATTTATTTACTTTTCGTACATCTTTTCGTAAAAAATTAAAAAATATACTTATTTAGATTTTTCTAAACCCTCTAAATGTAAGTTCCATTTGGTTTAATTTTTTAAATGAGTTTTGAATTGTATTTTAAAATATTAGTTGTTGAAAAGAGTTTGAAAGTTGAAAATTTATTTAGTTATGAGTTTTGAAAATAGTTTTGGAATGATTTATAATTTTTTTATTCAAATAGATGGATTGTGAGAGAAAATTTGATTAATTAATGTATAGAATGAGAGAGGATGAGAAAGGAAAGAGAAAAGAAAAAAAGTAATTGATTTATTTATTGATAATAAAAAATAAAATAAAATAAAGAAGGAGAGAGAAAATTGATTTTTCAGTTGTATTTTAAAAGTTTATTTACCATTTTTTTTTTTTGATTCAAATCATATTTTAAAAATTAAACCAAACATTACCGTAGTCTTTGTATGTTCACATTTTGTCAATAAAATACATTATATAGACCTATCTCAATTCGGATAATTAATCATTAATTTATTTTCTTTATATCAAAACGAAAATTAGCAAAAATAAAAATACAATCAACACCCCCTTTCCTTATGAAATTGATTAAATATTTTATAACCTAAAATATATTTCAGGGTTAGTTTTATCATTTATCTTTAAATTGGTCTTATACGACATATTTGACAGAAAAAGAAAAAAAATTCAAAAACGAATGAATTAGATCAATAAATAATAATAATAATAAACAGTAAAATTACTTTAAAGACTTAATTGAACAAATAAGTTCAGATTTTTTTTGATAAATTACAAATACATCTCCTAAAGTTTGCTTAAAATATAGATTATTTCTTATGATTTGAAAAATTACAAATACCTTCCTATCAGTATTTATTATTTAACAAAATTAACTAAAAAAATAAAATTCATAGTTACTCTCCAATACAATAATAAAATTATCTAAATTATTAATTAAAACATAATTATAATATCATTAAAAACTGTTAATTGACTTGATGATTTATTAATAAAAAATACTACTTATTATGAAATTAAAAATCTCAAGAGTGAAACATAATTTTTAAAATGATAGAGGCGATTCATATTTTAATTCAATCTCATTAATGTATTTATAATTTATTAAAAAAAGAAATAAGAAAATAGTGAGGTGATCTGACAAAAAAAACACTGCCGAAGCCGTACGGCACAAAAAACAAAAATAATATATTATTGCAGGCTTGTATTGACACCATACCGATATTCAAATCAAAAAAGAAACCCAATTGATGGTCGCCTTGTTTGGGAGGTAGATTTTTTTAATTTTTTTTAGATTAAAATAGTTAATAAAAATAAATTAAATTAAAATAATTAATAAAAAATATATCATATTTAAATTATAATTATTTTTTTCACAATTATCAAATTAATTATAAAAAAAGTAAATTATTATTCCAAACATAATTTTTTTAACCAAATTAAAATAACTAAAAAAAATTTAAAAATCACCTAAAACAGCCAAGTTTCCAAATAAGATCTTAATTAAAAGATTTTGCTAACAATTATCTTCGACGCACAAGAAAAAGATTAAAAATTTGAAAAATATTTCAATTAATACATTTTTAATAAAATCAATATTTTTTTAATCATTTTCAAAAACTTTTTATGTCAATTTTAATATTAAAAAATGTTCATTGGACACTTATTAACATTTGTAGTCAACTATTAAGAAAAATATTTGAGACTTCTAATAAAACCTTCATAGTTTTACTTCTAATAATATAGAATGATAGGTATCAATTTTGATTTATTACATACTCAATTATATAAGATTTTATTTTCTTACCACATCATTAAAGGTGTAATTAAAAGTAATAAAATGGGATGTAGCAAAACTCAATCATTAAATGGGCCAACACATATTTCAACATCGAGATCAGATTTTCTCAACTAATGCGGTGTGTTTAAAAATTAATTTATAATTTAAAGTGAGTGAATATCAAGTTTAAATATAAATATAAATTTAAATTTTAAATATTTTTGTGAGTATATAGCATCATCCATATGTTTGCCTCTCTTATTTCAAAACACGGAAGTCAAAAAGAAAGAAAAAAAGATTGCATGGTAAGTCCGAATAATTATTAAATATAGTGGGTTTTACATGATTTTTATTGCATAAATAAGCATGAGAAATAATAATATTATAAAATAAATATAGTTATAAATAACATTTTTCATGTTTTCAAATATAATTAGTCTCATACATAAGGGACTTGGTAATAAGAAGTACGAGAAATGAGTAAATTATAAACACACTTCTTAAAGTTTATTTAAATTATAAATTATTTCTTGTGATTTTAGAAATTATATTATGGTTCTAAGATTTTTAATTTCATAACAAATAAGTCATTTTATTAATAAATTATCAAGTTAATTAACAGTTTTTAATAATGTTAAACTTTTATTTCAATTAATAATTCAGATAATTTTATTATTGTATAGGTGAACAGTTAGAAATTTTACTTTTTTAATTAATTCTGTTAAATAAAAAATTCTGAAAGTGAGGTATTTGTAATTTTTCAAATCACATGGGGCAAATCGTATTTTAAGCAACCTCAGATGGTGTATTTGTAATTTACCGAAGTATGAGGAAATGAAAAAATTATTATTTGTATTATTATTTGAAAGGGCGAGACATTTTTACCTTATTTTAAAATATTTTTAATTAATTAATTTTCAAAGCACCTTTCACCCTAATTCTAATATTAAACGCACTTGTTAGCATTTGTCGACACATAAACATAATTTTTATTGCATAAATAGAGGTAAACAATGAAAAAATAAAATTATGAAATAAATCTAAGTGGTAAATAACAAAAAAAAAATCCTTCACCCAATTCTTGCTGCAAATGTGGACTTTGACCAAGTAATGGTGCTGCTGAGGACTTTTGACAAATTATTAATTAATTAATTAATTAATTTGTTTATTTATTTATTTTCAGTCCATGTGCTAAGGACAGTGATGGTTCTTTTGGCCCAATGCACTTTGCAGTTGGACGGCTATTATGATCCCCCCTGCTTTTTTGTTTTTTCGGATAGCCCTGCTTTAACAGTTATGACCACATGCTTTGACAAATTTTTTTTTTTTTTTTTTTTGAGAAATCAATCAGTATATTTTGGTTTAATTTTTTTAATTTTAGTATTTTATTTTTCATGTTTTTTTTTTATTTTTAATGAATATTTTTAAAATTTTAAACAACTTTTTAACTTTTTTTTAGATACGACTACTTAAATAATTCTAAAAAATAAATAATTTCTAATAAAATATTTTAAAAAAATCAATAAATATACAAGAATATAAAAAATGTACTGAATTAAAGTATTTTTTGTATTTTTGGTATTTAATGAATTTTTTAAATATTTTTTCATAAATATTATACTTTTTAAGTATATTTATGTTAGGCCTATTTAAAAATTAAAAAAATTTAGAAAAATTAATGAAAATAAAAATATATAAAAACAAAAAAAATTATTTTTTAAAAATAAATCCTGAAAGGTATTCCATTGAAGATTCCCTGCTTGATCCAGGCTGTTTATTATTGATGGGTCCAGCCCCTAAAATCATATTTCACTTCCTAGCTCTCAAAATATGGCGCCAATGATTTAATATTACGTCATTTTTATTCTAGACATTTGTTAGTCAACTCTCTCTGCCGTCTATTAACAGTGAACCAATATGTAAAAAAAAATAGAATCATATTCATAAACAAATTTTCATTAACTCAATAATCTGCTATAAAGTTTGGCATTTTGATAACACATAATTCTAGATATAATATTCTAGTATAATGAAAATTTAAGTAAATTTTGATGAATTTTGTTCATATATTTACAAATCTTGAATAAAATTTTAAAAAAAAAATTCTAATTACAGAAACACAAATGTTTGTAAAAAGAAAATCACTTAATTTTTTGTTTTATTATCGAAATAATCACCAATTTGTCATGTTAATGTAAATTGTAAATAATTAAATCACCACTCCCACCTACCACCTCCACTACCACCGCACTCCACCTACCACCACTCTCACTTCACTCCACCTACACCTACACCTACTACCAGACATTTTCTTCTATATATATGATCATTGTAAACATAACAATATACACAATCTTGTAATATAACATATATCAATCAAATAATACATCAGTTTATTTTACATGGTATCAGAGCCAAGGTTGAAAAAGCTAATAATTCTGCTTCACCGGTGGGCGGCAGCCTCGCTTGGCCGCCCGCCGGACCTCTACCATACCTTCACTCCGCTGCTCTCCTCTCAACATTTTCTCTTCTCTCTCCATGGCGGATGTTCATCATGGAGGAGCACAAGGCATCAAGCTATTGGCCCAACTCCTACGGCTACCAGCCAAGCCTCTCCTCCCAATTCAAGCTCGTATCCAAGAGCTGGCCTTCCTCTCCTTCTTCCCGTATTATCAGGTTCAACCAGCATCGCTAGGACTTCTGTCCTTCTTCCCGTCTGCCACCGTCGTCAACCAAACACCGGCTTTGGACACCACCACAGGATGAATGGCAATGGTATTTCTTTGGGATACACTTCTGGGTGATCTGGTGCTCTCTTTTCATCTCCGTCTCCGGCTTCTTCTCCGACCAACTCTCCATCCCCGGTTCCGATCAGCTCCTCTAGCTGGGTCTGGCTAACTTGATATACCCAACACAAACATAAACAACAAAAACAGCCAACCCATCTCGGCAACTTGCCTCTCTGTCAAGGAACCACCCACACATCCTATCTCTCTTCTCTCCCTCTCGGAGAACACACAGCTGTACAACACACACATGCAAGCACAAAAAACACACTTTATTCCTCTCTCTCATCCCTTCATGCTTTACACCCAACACCCACCCCACTTTCTTTTTTTATTTCGCCCACATACATAAAAAACCACTCGGCCAATGGGATAAAGGTGGCGGTGGTTTTGTCACGCGTGAAGCAGACCATGTGTATTAGCTTAAAAGGTGGTCACTTGGCCTTATATTCCTTTGTTAAAAAAAAAAAAAAAAACAAAACAAAAAACAAAAAAAAAAAAAAAAACAAAAAAAAACGGACTGCACACCGTGTTGCTCACACACTCTTGTCTGCAGACTATGGTTCAGGACACTGTCTTCACACAATTCTACTATATTATCATACGCCACAACCCATCTTTTGAAAAAAACACCACTTAACTTTCCTTTTTCATTTTTTTTTTTTTATTATTTTTACTCCATCTTCCTTTGAACAGAAACCAACAACACAAACTTACTTTGCACATGTCTCTCCTCTCTCTCTCCACTTTACACCCCCTCTTTTCCTTATTTTATTTAAACACAATGCTCTCCCATGTTTCATACCAACACCCACGTGATTTCCCACTTTTTCTTTTCTTTTCAATATATATATTATATATATATTTATTATAATATATTTCCCCAACTATCTTTCACCATCCTCTAGAATAATAATTCTCACACACTCCCAATTTGACCAATTCTTTTTCTTATTAATTATATATATATATATTAATTTCTTTTTTTCGTCCCACCGTTTCAGCACCCATTATTATTCTTATTATTTATTTATTTATTTATTTATTTTCGATTCCCTTCTTTTCAACAAAAAAAAAAAAAAAAAAAAACAAAAAAAAAAAACAACTTCCCAACATTTGCAAACAACACCCATATTTTATTTCTCTCAGGATCCACCCCCGATCACCATTTTACACAAAAAAAAAAAAAAACACACAAAACACAACCAAAAAAAAAAAAAAAAAAGGGACAACACAACCACATTCCACAGTGAGATTTTTCCTTCTCATACTCTGCTCGCCGGTCTTTTCTTCTTGCTTCGTCTGGACGGCCCTTGACGGTATTGCTCCGTCTTTCCCAACTCCACTGGGCACGACTCACTACCTCCTGCTCCTCCACTGCAGCTATGGCGGCCCTCCAAAATCGGAAACATTACACGGTGGCCTTCCGCTTCAGCTTCCTTGTGTTTTCTGCCTTAGCACGCTTATTCTGCTCGCGCATGCCTTAACACTCGTTGGTAGCACGAGCCAGTTGGGAGTTTTAATTGCTGCACTCATTTGGTCACTACTCTGCAGCCGGTGCGACAAGTGTTTGTGACCGCCGTAATGGACCTCCACAACACTGATGCCTTCAACAAGTATACTGATTAGCCTCCAACATCCGTTTTGCAACGAAGCCATTTTTGCTCCCACGTACTGCATCGGAAGTTCACGGAGCAAACCTCGTGTGTTTGGTTGAGGTTCACGGGGAACACCCGCGATCCCAGTTCTCTCTCCTGTGGACTCGTTGAGATCGGGAAAGAGAAGTGAGCAGGACTCCGG